TATATATATTATATATATATGTATATATGAAAAATATATAAAAAATGCAAGTGGGTACTCAAGTGAAAGCTCTTGATGAGTGTAACATCAGGATGAGCTTATATCATAAAAAATGTCAATAATTAAGGAATGACTTTGTATCTTGTGAACTATCGACATTTTTAAAGATATAAGCTCATTCCGATATTATACTCATCAAAACCTTTCATTTAAGTACCTACATCAATTTTTCATATATTTATATATATAATAATATATTATATATATGTATATATGAAAAATATATCACAATGCATGTGGGTACTCAAATGAAAGCTCTTGATGAGTGTAACATCGGGATGAGCTTATATCTTAAAAAAACGTCAATATTTAAGAAAGTACAGTGCATTTTAACAAAAATCATTTTTTAATAAAGCAAAATTTTAATTCTTTATAGTTCACAGTCACAGCAGTCACATCGTGACTGCAAGAGTGCTAGTAATTATTTATATTAACATTGAATGAATCACATTTCAAGCTTCACTAATTAAAAAATAACCTTGATAAAAAAAAACTCTTGAACTAACATCATTCTGATCAATTTAAGTTTTTTAAATCAAGTAGAAAAGTTTTTGGACCAATCAATTATTTTTATAGTTTAAATAAATTTTACATAGATCAAAAACTTTGCTGCTTGAATCAAGTCAAAGAAATTATTCTAAATAATTTTCAATCAATGTATGAAACTATTATCGCTTCAAATAATTAAATAATAACAGAAAATTGTTAATTAAACTTTTCGTAATAAATTTATAGAGATTTTATTCCTATGTAAGAAAAAAATCTGTTTATTTAACAAAATAATTTTATTCATGTTGATTTCATGGCTAAAAATAGAATTGTCCCTAAACAATTCCCAAAAAAAAATAATTATTCTTTAAACCTACATCAAAACATTTCTCAATAAAGTAATTTTTACCGACATTTTTTTTTTTAATTAAAAATTTTTATAGAGAAAGAATGCTAATTTCTATTTTCCCTATAATTTTTTTAACTGTAAAATAAATCATGAGCAATTAATTTTTCGCATAGTTCTCTTTAAATTGCATTTTGAATTTTATTTTTACTCCAAAAATATAAAAAAAAATTTAAGCTCTAAAAAATTTATTTTACTTGTTACTAATGATATGTAAAGCAATTCCAATAATAATATTAAAAAATGATGGCTAATGCATCATAAAACTTTTAGAGTAAAAACTCATAAAACAGTAAAAGAAAAATAATATTCTAGTCTGTACCCTCGAGGAGAAATCTGTTAACTCAGGTCAAAATGCAACAATATATTTTAAAGTAGTATAGATAAACCAAAGATTTACTTTTGAAAAGCCATAAGCCTGCATCATAATTCTAAGAATTCTCTACCACACTGTAAGACCGGTTGGGTCACTAATTGCAGTGTAACACCCATACACAACAACAAAGTTAGAATATACATTTGAAGAAAATTTATGACACTGAAGTTAGCAGACGTCTAAAAATTTTTGATTTTTTTTTTAATTAAATTACAACTAAAAAGATATTTTAAAAAAATTGCACTTATAGTTTTTCAAGTTTCTAACATGTGATATTTTTTTTTTAACTGTTTAATTGAAATTTTTTGGATAAAAAAATTTCTAAAAATTTTGAAATGTCAGCTAACTTCATTTTCATGAAAATTTACATAAAATGATTAATGACGGAACAAACATATATTTTTCAACTTCGTCAACTTGATTTCGATTTTTGTATTTTTCCCTACATAGGTTTACTTAAATTTGATCAAAATTAATTTAATTAATTTTTATTTAGAGCCAGTTTTTACTGTTGTGGTCTTTTTAGGCTGTGAGAATCTTAACCTACGCAACAAGCGTCAAATGCTAAGCTTCTTTCTAAAACCAACTTGGGATTCGAACCCACGCTTGGTCGGTGAGTTAGTTTGAGTGCTTTATAAACCACGCGCTCTCAATTTTTTGGCTAATGTCGCCGGTTTTAATCAAAATTATCGAATTAATATTTAAATAAATAAAAAAGAAAAACTTACAATTTCTACTTCATTAGCCGTAATCTTGTGATGAATAGTCAGTCTCTCCCCGGCAGATCTAAACTCTGATACTCCAAATAAATGAATAAAATGAATTTATCGATGTAACACTCTTGCTTTAACCAGATGAAATATTAAACTAGTGAAAAAATGAAAATACTAATGCGGAAAAAATGCTGAGACTAATAAAATTCGCTTTAAACTTGAGACGAAGTTGGAGTCAAATGCCGATCCACCTCACAGGCTACCCTTACTGCGTCTGAGGTCTGAACTCATGTGCTCGTTGTTATATCTCACTCGATGTTTGTGAGTTACTACCCCTCTTTTCGGTCTACTGTCCGCATTGTTCGACCAATCAGGAACCCGGGTTCTCACTTTATCAAAGCGTCTATACTACTGTGACAACAAACGCGCCCCCTTCAAAATTCGGACCTACCGCCTACGACGCCAATTTTACCCCCTATATTTTTTCCTTTCTCAACATACCGATATTTCGGAGCTTAAACTCAAGTGTATTAACTCTTATTTTATTTTTTATTTTCCTTGGAAAAGCTAATTATATTTAAAATTGATTGACATATTGATTAATTAAACAATACAATGATAACATGGCTTAAAAAATAAAAATTTTATTTAGAAAAATAATGAAATAATTTAATTATTTGTTTACAAGCAACCTTGCAGTCACTATGTGACTTGTGAACTATAAATAAATAAAAATTTGCTTTGTTAAATAATGAATTTTGTTAAATTGCACTGTACTTTCTTAAATATTGACGTTTTTAAAGATATAAGCTCATCCTGATGTTACACTCGTCAAGAGCTTTCATTTGAGTTCCCACATGTATTTTTGATATATTTTTCATATATACATATATATATATAATATATATAAATACATAAATATATGAAAAATTGATGTGAGTACTCAAATGAAAGGTCTCGATGAGTGTAACATCGGGATGAGCTTATATCTTTAAAATTGTCAATAGTTGACAAAATAGTAAAGTCAGTTTTTAATTATTGACATTTTTTAAGATATAAGCTCATCCTGATGTTACGCTCATCAAGAGCTTTCATTTGAGTACCCACATGCATTTTTAATATATTTCTCATATATACATATATATAATATATATAAATATATAAATATATGAAAATTTGATGTGGGTACTCAAATGAAAGGTCTTGATGAGTGTAACATAGGGATGAGTTTATATCATTAAAAATGTCAATAGTTCACGAGATACAGGATCTTTTTTTAATTATGTATCTAGAGATAGAGCTTTTTTGAATGCAGCCTAAATACATCATCATAAATTGACTATTGGTGAGAATCATATGAAACCTTGAAAAGGCAAAAATTTAAGTCTAGACTTTTCCAAAGATACCAAATTTAACCATAAAAACCCATTTTATCATATAAATACACTGGCCACAAAATTTTGCTTATTTTATTAATAATAAATTATTTAATAGATAGATTATATAATTCAATTACATAGATTATTAAATAGATTATATAGATTATTTAAATTCAATGCCAAGGCAGTTTATAAAAAAATTGTACAATAAAGTATACGTATAAATTATGAAGAAATAAAATTGTTAATTTTAGATATTAAAAAAAATTTTTTTGAATGTAATTATGACAACATAAATACAAGAAATAGATAAAATTGAATACAAAATTAAAATCAGTAATGCAAACACATAAATATGATAAAATCATGTAACAAAATTGAGTAAGTAAATATCAAGATTATATAATTATGATTTGAATATTTTTTATTATCAATGGCTATATGAAAAAATATAATCTCTAAAAATAAACAACGAAAACATTTTGTCAATAACAAAATCGTAAAGGACGCCACCCTATATACTAAAATGAGCGCTTGCACCTGAAATTTCATGAATGAGAGTAGCGTCGTTCAATGTTAGCAACAGCTATAGTCAACAAACTTTTACTTGCTGCGTAGAACAGCCCTTCCACCCCTACCTAACCTTGAAGAAGGTTAGCCGATAGAGAATGAAAAATATTGAATATTATAGAAAGAGACCGAATATCTATGACTCATTCGTTTTTATCTTAAGACGCTCATCTACTTATTCTAATTATTTTTTAATGATTTTCGTCATATTCATTAGTCTACCTTTAAATTTTTTTCTGACGAAAATACATAAGCAAACATATTACAATGAGTAGAAAAATATAATTCTTTGAAAATCCTACTTCGTGTTGGAATATCAGCTTCTAATTAGGAAAAATGTTCGTTAATCTATTTCGAGAAAAGTCTCGTCGACTATAGATTATAAATTTTATTTTTGCTGACTAATTTTCTTCAAATTAAATTGCTTCAATGAAATTCAATTGATTTTTTTTTATTTGATATTGATGCAAATTGTGAAAAAAAATATTTTTTATCTTCAACTTATTTTATTTATGATATAAAATATAAATCACTAATTAATATATAATAAAATCTATCTTTTTAACTTGGTCTAAGTTTAAAAAATTCGAACAAAACTTAATATTGAAGCTAGGCTTCGTAATAATTGACCCAAACTCAATGTATCGTACACAGAAAAAACAAACTTCTTTCGCCAAGAAAATTTTAAGGAAGACAAAAGTTATTTTGGAGCAAGAAGAAATTTTCTTGGCTCAAGAAACTTTGACTTCATTAAAAAAATTTTCAATCTTCCTTAATATTTTCAAAGGCCAGAAAATTTACACTCCAGTCAAGAATTTTTTTTTTCAGTTTAATGATGAAATAATATAATATAATTAATTACAATACCTGTTTATTTATACAAATAATTTTTGACAAAATAATTCATAGAATATAGGAATATTTTTAAAATTACAAGTATTTTTGCTTATGGGTTTTTTTTTTTCGTGGGTATATTTTCGTTGGGTCAAATGTATTGTTTGTTACCCGCCCCTACTAACCCGCCCCTACTAATAATCCTTATCTCTCGTCCATTTGAAAACATCTGTCACTGAATTCTTCAATAGTGCAAAATTTTACCTAATCTTGCAATAAATATACTTAAGACAGACACTTTGACATCCTTGTCAGCGGTCAACAATGCACCCGTATGTAGTTTCAACCTTTCTGGATTAAGTTTATTGTCACTATAACCTAGACAATGGTTAAATTTTTCTAAAATTTTCCATTTTACAGTTTTACTACTTAAAACTTTTTCCCGACTCTTGACGATAATAAATTATATCCTCGGTACCCTCTATAACAGTTAACTCGTAAACAAAATCATAAAAATATTTATTCATTTGAGTTTTATAAAAATTTATGGTAAAAATTTTTTATAATTTTTATGACTCAAATTTCTTTAGTAAAAAAATTAAAATATTGTCAGGTTTTTATTATCTTAATTTTTATTCAATTTAAATTGCGGATTCAAAAAATAAAATTCTTTACAATAATTGATTTGTTATAAAAATCACAAGAATTGCTTGTATTGAAGTTTCTTAATTTCAAGTGTGATTTACGTTTAAGCCACTTATTTTTAGCCTGTAGATATGTTTCCAATTTAATAGCTATAAATAATAATAATAATAATGATGATGATATTTTGGTAAATTTTTCTTCTTTAAAAGAAACAATAGTTTTATTGCTTTAACAAAATTTTATTGATCTACTTAAGGTAGTTCCAGCATGAAATCACTTTTCGACAGATTCGGCTGAAATTTTTTTTACGGGTTCAGAATAGCTTTATTTATAAATTCCTGAAATTTCATCATTTTTGACCGTTTAGATCGCGAGATATTTAAAGTCAAAGTTGGCGATTTTGAGGGTCATGTTCCATCTAAAGCATGTAAAATGTCCGGTCTCTCCAACTATTTTTTATGATATTAAAAAATTCTCTCGACAGAATTGGAAAAAAAATTAGGAGAGTATTGAAAAATGTTTTTAGAATAAGTTAAAAAAATTAGAAAAACGGTTCACCCTAAAGGCCATCCCTGCAACTTCCCGCTCATTTTGTATTTAAACGCTTCAAACTACACATCACGTTTTTGAGCTCTTCGAGCTCAAAAATATTATTTTTGTGTCAATTTGAGCTCTTCGAGCTCAAAATTCTAATAGCAGTTTAAAGACACAATTTTTTTAATTTTCAAACGGCAATAACTTTTGAATGAATGAACCGATTTTCACGCGGTTGGCGGCAATCGACGCAATTATTGAAGCTCCATGAAAAATTTTCAAGTTTAAATCGATCGAGCCATGAATTTTGAAGTTATTACAAAAAAACACTTTTTTCGATTTTTTTCGACAACGATATCTCACGAACGCATCAACCGATTCTAACGTTTTTGGTGGCGATCGATGGAGGTTTTCAAGGTTAAGAGCTGATTAGTTTTTGAGACCGATCGGTTCAGCCAATTCGGAGATATTTAAAAAAAAATAAAAAAAAACAACTTTTTTTTTTACTTTTTTTGCATTTTCTCGAAATCTACCGGTCGGAATCGGTTCAAATTTTCAGGGAATCTAAGTTTAGTGAAGCCTTTTCGAATGACACCAACCGCGATGAAATCGGTCGAGTCGTTCAAAAGTTACAAGAGGTTTACATACACACACACATACATACAGTACAGACGTACGGACATCATCGTAAACATAGTCAGGGAAGCTTCCTGTGACCTTCAAACGTCGAGATCTGATGAAAACTCGATTTTTGTAAAACAGGGTGAAAACAATAACTTCCCGATTTTTGAAAATATGAGATTTTTAGCGGGAAGTTAAAAATAAA